GTTAGAAACACTGATGAGAGAGAAGCATCGATCAGCTGCCTCCCGCACACCCCCTACTGGGGATGTGCCCACAACCAACGTACATGCTCTAGACCGGAACCGAACCCAGGACCCCTCAGTCTGCAGGCCAACGCTCTATCCACTGAGCCAAACCAGCCAGGGCCAACATATGTATTTTTAAATGGTCTCTGATACACAAATAATTTCCCTAAAGACTGAGATTTGGTTGCGTCTCCTTGTTTGGACCATCATAAAGCAGCTCTTAGCCCAGCCAGCGTGGCTCAGCGGTTGAGTGTCGACCCAGGAACCAAGAGGTTGCTGGTTTGATTCCCGGTCAGGGCACATGCCGGCTCAGTCCCCGTGGGGGCCGTGCAGGAGGGCAGGAGGCAGCTAATCATCTCATGGATGTTTCTATCTCTCTATTCCTCTCTCTGCCTCTCTCTCTTAAAACAAACAAACGTATTTTTACATAAAAAGAAATGGAAAAAAAAATACAGCAGCTCTCAGATAAAAATTGGACCTGTGGTTGACTGTTCTCCTACCAGGTTGTCCAGTTCGGAGGACAGACGGCACCAAGTGAAACAGATTAATTTCAGAGATAACACACCTGGCATTTGTAAGGCTCTGTTCATGCGGCCAGGTCAAGCTGTTCTGGGTTTAATGGGGCGCTTTCTGGAAAGTCCTTCCTCGTGTGCCAGGTTTATTCCTGCCCTTTCATGGGCAGATGCATCTGCTACTTCATAACTGTAATATTGCTACTGTTATGAATCGTAATGTAAATATCTGATATGCAGGATGGCCTTAGGCAACCCCTGTGAAAGGGTCATTCGACCGCCAAAGGGGTCGCGACCCACAGGTTGAGAACCGCTGCTCTAGAGCTTCCACTGGGGCCTGGAGACTCAGGACAGCCGGGACTTTTCCATCCTCTTGGATGAACATGCACACACCCACACACACATACACACACACACACACACACTCTCTCACCCACCCATGCACATGCACACACTCACCCACCCCCTCATCCACCCACCCATACATGCACGCCCACCCACACACTCACCCATACACGCACACACAAACACATGCACCCAGCCACACATGCAAACACGTGTGCACACGAATGTTTGGACTTTGCCCATGCAACCCCTCCTTCCTTGGTCTGGCTCCGCTGCTGGCAAGCTCATGCAAACACCTGCAGGGCCCTTATGCCTGGAGTGGGCTCTTCAGAGCTCCTGATTCGCTTAAGGCAAGAAACCTTATGTGATTTCCTCCTGCTCATTTGGAGCCTTCAAACCTTCCACTCTTGCTTGGGCTGCCCCTGAAAGCTGCTGCCTGTGTCTGGCTGCCCATGGCTCCCTGGGGCTTCCCTGTGCAGGACCAGGGAGGTGTGGGGAGAAACCCTGGGCAGGGCAGGAAGCAGTTGGAGCGACTCTCCTCCTCCCCCAGTCTCTCCCTGTCCCCAGAGTTCCCGTATGTATTCAATCTACCACGTGAAAAGCTCCAGAATGGGCTGTGGGCACCTCCACAGTCCCTTTCCAATCACCCGCAGCCCCCACTTAATGGGAAAAGCCCTGGTTGTTTCAAGATCAGGGAAGCCGCGATGGAGAGAGAGTGAAGGCAGGCCTGCCCCTGGCTGATGGCAGCTGCCCAGCTGGGTGCCATTTCACTCTGCTTGGCGCAGCCTTTCCAGGTGCCAGTGTCATTTGGCCAGACCTGCTTTTCCTGTTTGGTTTGTTGCTACTAGCAACGTGATTGAGAAATACCTCCCCTCCACCCACCTTGGCAGCTCATTTTCAGGAAGAAGGAAGAAGGGGAGCAAGAACAAAAAAGAGCCCAAGAATCTCTTTCCC